TTTGTATTTTCACTTCATTTGTAAATGGGTCCCATTCTTTATCTGTCGACAGTAATTTCCTTGGACTCGCCAGGTTGTTTTTGTTTACTACCATGTGAGGATAGAAAGTTGTAAAGGTTCTACTACATAAAGTCAGCAATTGTACATTATTTGTCTCTGTACTGATGATATTATATACCACCACCTTTAATAAATTTTGCCTGCGTGAATTTTGCCTACTTGAATTTCGTTTGATATTATGTTTAGAGTGTTTAATTACAAGCATGAAAATTGTCTAGAATTTATTTGTATAAAATTGGCAATTAAATGTGTTTGATTGATTTGATTTTTAACCTAGAAAATGTTGTATTTTTTCATAAAGTTGAGTTTTAGGGAAGTATGAATTGCCTACAAAATAAAAACCTACTTCCCATTAAGAAATTATTTTCCTTATTTTTGAGGCAACATAATCACGTGATCAACTTTTAAAAATATTTTTTTGAAAAAATAATATCAATCGAATATCTCAAAAGTAGGAACTAGGATAAAAAAAAATAAAAAAATATTTTTCATGAAAAATAAAGTCAATCAAATACACCTTTAATGTTACTAAATTGATCGAATCCATTGAGGGTTATGTAAACTTGCTCTTTGAAAGGAGGTGGCTGAAATTTTAGAAGTCAGCAAACAATAAAGGAAATGGGACTTGGTTTAGTTGAAATTTTCCGTGCGATTATGTACAAACCTTGGTTTACCGTAGTAGGCTCACGCAAGTTTTCTTTTTCAACTAAATTACATATTTTAATTATTATGGCGAGTCGAATATGCTCACGAGTCAACTTATTCGAGTCAAATGAATGACTCATACGAGAAAATTACTGCTTGGCTCACGGTCTTGTATCCCCTCGTTAGTGGGGTGAGTTGCTCGCCCGCTTAACATCTCTACTTATGAGTGAAATTAGAGAATTTGTTGTAAAACAAACTTTATGGGGGGAAGGTTTATATAATTTTTGAAAAATAGGAGGGTCTGTATGTAATATTGATATACCTTATGGGGGAGTTTACTCAAAAAGAAAAAGGTTATTTTTTAAGAAAAATTGCAGCCACGGTACCAAATCTTTCACATTTTTTCAGATTTTGTCCAAACTTTTCATTTATGCCACCAATGGTACCAAACTTTTAAACAATTCGCACCCGAAGATCAAATTGACAGAAACTGTTAGTTTGACCGTTAGTTGACTAAAAATAAAAAAATTCGACCAATTGTTGACTAATTCTTAAAGGGCAAAATGGTAACTTTTTTTTTTCATATAAAAAAACTAAAATCAAATAATTAAATCAAAAATCAAAGAACCCTATTATCTTCTCCAACCACTCCATCCCATACCACCTCACCTCACCTCACCACCTACTCAACCCAAAACGAAAACTGCCGGCACCACCAAACTCACCTCCACCACCGTCCAAGGGCAACAATCTCTGGATCGAAGCATGAAATTCACAGCAAGGACTTCAAAATCCAGTTTCGCAGCAAAAAACTGTTGGAATATTAAACTCCACTCACCAAAACCAGCAAGACCAGCTCAGAAATTAAGCACAGCACCAAAACCAGTAGCTTCACCAGACGTTCCCAGC